TCTTCTCAATAAACACCGTCATTACTGTGCTGCAACGTCACAGCAATTGCAATAAGATGAAAGCAAACCATACTCAAGGACAACGTATCTGTACACCATCGGAAATAAATAGAAATACTACTGGTAGATCTGGACAACGCACCTACCTACTCCAAATAAAATTGCTACAATATACAAACTACACAACTTTGCTATCTAATGTACACAGGCAAATGATATCCTTTTATCTCCTCCAAATCTAGCAACCCTAAGAGCAATACCACTACTCATCTTCTTCCTATTTACATTTACTCTTGACACATTCCCCTTGCAGGACATCCAATAAAATATCAACAAACATCATAAAGCCTTCTCTCTCATATCTTACCTTCATCCCAGACAAGCTCCGATTCTGTGTTGGTCTTCTCTGCCCTTTGTTTCAGCTCCTGTCGTCTAGCTTCTGCAGCCTCTAATCTGCTAACTTTGTAGAAGTATCGATGCCAAAACACAACGTGGGATACCTTGAATAAGGGATTTAATGGGATTCATTAAAAGGAAGAGTTATGCAGTCTATGGGAGTTTTGCTTCATTTAAATGCTGAAAGAATTTTGCAACTGTCAACAGTTTATTACAAGAAACATACAAAAATGTATGAATGAGAAGATAGAGATAGAGATGAAGATAGAGACAAAGACAGAAACAGAGACAAAGATAGAGACAGAGACAGAGACAGAGACAGACAGAGACAGAGACAGTGACAAAGATGAAGACAAAGACAATGACAAAGAGAAAGACAAAGACAAAGACAGAGAAAGAGGTAGAGGTCAAGATCAAGGTTGAGGCAAAGAGAAACAGAACCACTGATAACAAAATGAAGAAAAAAACACCCACCTGAGCTGGAACTAGAGTTGTGTAATGGTGTCTCAAAGGTTGGTTATTGACCAGGAGATCTGACAACTCAGTCTGCCGTGCCTCCAGGTCGAAGGTTTCCACCCAGGTCTCGTACTGTGTCTCTTCTCCTTCTGGGTCCGTTGTGAAAGTCTCTGGATCTTGTGATATTGCATATATTGCTGCCTGCAAGTTAGATTAATTGGTTTATAGAAACTTTATCAAGATAATGGCAAATAGAAAAAGTAATAATAATTTGGTGCCACTGATTCTTAATGAGGCATCTTTCACTTAATAATCTTTATATACTTATTACAAACTCTTCTGAGAAATATTAATAAAATAATAATGGTATAGTTTCAAGATAATGTATAATGATAATTCAAAAGTCTTAAAACCTTTACTTCTGGATGGCAATTATGTCATTCCCTGCCAAAGCTTGCCTCACCAGAGATACATATGCAGTGGTTCTATAATGAACCAACTATTATCATAGCCTTCACATCATACAGAGACTCTACACTGTGGTGAATATATTACACCAAAAAACAACAACGCATTAAATAATATGTATCTGTTGCCTGCACACCACAAACATAATCTCATTCACATAGAGTTTTGTCATTTCAGTAGTTCAACCAGCCCCGAGCCAAATATTCCTCATTCACATTGTATCACTGACACCTCACTTCAAGGCCAGACAAGATTTATTTCCACCAATCATATTATACATATCTCCATATACAAGTAAATAAATCACATGTGATTTTCACAGTACAAGAGGCTCCCATTATCTGTCACTGATATTGAACACAAAAACAAGAAAAAATAACAATAACAACAAAGCATTATAACCTGAAAGAAGACATTATAAGACCATTCACTTCAATATTGTAGTGCTGTGTTAACCCATAGCCTACATATATTTGCTAAAATAACATAAAATGGAGAATCCTAGTTTTATTTGAGAACATAGATACACACACATGGTTCCACAAGTGCTCAGCCACCAAGGAGTCAAAAGAAGGCCCTATGTGACCACACCTGATTTTCCCACTCAGTGATTTTCAGGATTTCTTTTTCTACTGCTGTTAATATTTACATTGAAATTATCCCTACTGACATCATGATTGTGATTATGTTATAAGCAATATTACAGCAATAATAAAAAAATGTATTTCTGAAAATCAAGGAAAAGAGTAAACAGGTGAGATAGGTAGATTCCAGTAATTAACTCCTTGGTGACTCAGCACATGTGGAGCAATCTATGTGCAAACAAAATTAATGAACACAACTCATAATGGATATAGCTAGATAAGCAAAAATGGGTTAAGATACAGTCAGAATTCAGTACAACAAATCTGAGTAAGTTAACCCCTTGATTGTGGATGACATAAAATCATGTTAAGTATTTGGTGGGTTGAGTCACAAACAGCACCACATAAAGGCATACCCCATGTCATGGGCACATCAGAGGGAGCTTGTCTTTCTCTGACAGCAACGACATCAATTATTTGGTCTCACTATAAAATACAGGTACTTAAAGTGATAGTAAAATTCAGTGATTTCAAATTTGCAGTTATAGGCTTTAGCTGCATAATTAGGTGACCAATTTTGGGTTTGAAATACTGAATAAGCTGGGCACAAATGGGGAATCTGCTATTGCACACCATCTCTGCATTACTTCTTTTTAATATTGAAATTGTTTGGTTAAGACTGAAGTTGCATGGTGTGGCAGTCAATTAACTAAATTGCAGGCCATGACTAATTTTGCCATCCAATCACACGGCATATATGCACAGCCTCTGGTGCATTTTTAAGGATAGAAAGAATAGCCAAGAGGATAATGTCATACCTAAAGAAACATCAACAGTATGTTCCACAAACCTAAACTTCTAATTATCCATTTCCTTCTCAATCATCATTAGTCAACAAAATAGTTTTGGTACCAGGAAGTCATAGCGTAACACCAAAGTCACAACAAAGGAATTAGCATTTCAAATGCGGTTGAGTGTCAAATGGTGGGAATGGCGTGGCATTCTGGTAACGAAACTTTCTCTGCCCTGATGACAAAAGAATGAAATTTTCAAAAATTTAACTCCCACAAAACTTGGGCAAAAAAAGAAGTGAAACAACGAACAGAGAGGCAATACATAAAGAGGAGTTCCTGCAAATTACAAAGCAATACATTACCTTACCATAAAACAATATGAGTTCATAAGTGCCATCTATTTCACACCTCATCACACTAACCTGAAGTCTGTTGAGGATGACGGGCTGCTGATTACGAATGACAATGGCCTCCTGATCGCCATCATCAGGCGGAGGAGTAAACACTTCGGCAACATGATTAAGGAAACCACTTACACTTTTCTTCACATTACTGGCTGTGCTCTCATCATCATCCAGCTTAGAGGGGAGAATAATTGTTCTTATCATATTCATTATCATCCTTACTATCATACATTACATAATCATAAGAATTTGACACTGAATTTCTGCCTCTTTTGTGCTAACTGATATCCAGAAAAATGGTGAATGTGACAAAGCATGAGATGAGTGAGAGAAAAAAAAAAAAACTTGTGAATTATTCTAACCATTCTATAATGTGAAAAAACTTTGTTACTCTGGGTCAAAACATTATCATTTGACTGCAAAATCTAATTCTACTTTTAACCACTTCATTCCTCACCTTTAGTTTCTCCTTCAAAGTATTTGCTGTTGATGAAACTACAGATGAGGCCTCTTCTGATACAACTTTGGTAAACTCATCAAAATCTTTCTTCACAAACTCCAGCACTTCTGTTGACTGTGAGACCACCTGGAGCAGGGAAGTATACTTATTATTAACCTAAACATTCAATATTCACTTACATGCACTGCATCTAATGAACAAGAGCCCTGATAAATATACAATGATTTCTTTTCTACACTGTCAAAATAATATTTTTTCTAAAATCATCTGAAAAAGTATTCTTTTCTATACAGACTGGAGAATAAATGGTAAAAACACCTAGGCAAAAATAGAAAAAAAAAATAGCCCCTTTCATGATTTCTTCTAACATGCCCTTTTCATAAATGAGCTTAAAAACAATAACAGATAAAAATGATACTCTAAAAATCAATGACAAATGTAAGGATGCTCCTCTACTTACAAAAGAGTTGTCCTAATAAAACCAACATAAATTGAAAACACTAGAACGCAAAGGTTCATTTAACACATCCAATGTACTGAACATCAACCTACAGGAAAAAAAATGATGAATTCAAAATCAAAGTACACTTTCTACTGAATGTAAATTGCCTTAAACCATCATGGTAAAAGAAAAATCATATGTAATACCATCATACATCTAGGACCATCTCAACTACCATAAAAAAAAAACATCTAAAACCACCTGCAATTCAATCAACCTTTAATTATTTTGCATATTTAGTCTACCTTAGAGTGATGACTCACAGCTAAAGGAAATGTATGAATTAAAATCAATACTAACTTTTTTTAGCATTTCAATTCTACCCTGCAAACTCAATAAAATAATGATTTGAAATATAAAACCTACCACTTAAAGTAAAACATAAGAATAAATTACAATATAAATTTGATAATTAAAAAATTTCCATTCCAATTAAAATACCATCTTATCCCTATTTCAAACCTTCATTCAATCTGAGTTAATTAAAACCACAGGTTTGCAATATTAGTAGGATGAGGTACTATAATACACACAAATACTTAAATGCGTTGTTCTCCTGTTCTTCTACTTTAAGCAATCAAATTACTTTGCAATCTGTAAACATTGTCAGTTCAATAATCTATTACTTTTACACCGATTGATTAATTGCACTCAGGCATCAATACATAGCTGTCTTAATGCCTTGTGTGGCTTTAACTATGTTCTTTAAGGCCCACCACCAAGAAATAGATTAATAACATAATTCTGATAGCAACATAACAAATCTCAGTTTGATTTTTTCTAGGAATAAAGATCACAAGTTAGATATTTCATGCTGTGAAAACATGGAGGATTCTTTGTTTTCCTGGGCAGGCTTTGGGGGGCAGCAGCCCCCATAGGGGGGTCACAGGGGACACAGCCCCCTGCATTAGATAATATACTAACTGATTTTCTGTACATTATTCATATTTTACCCCACAATTTCTGGGCAGGGGAGGCCCCCTCACAATGGACCATCCCTGCATTAGGAAATGAAATACTACCTACAGTACTAAAATCATCACAACCAAAAATACATTTAAATACAAAATATACCTGAACATAATGATATATAAGACATATAGACGATACTATATACACAAAAATAGATAGACAGATAGATAAGCACAGATAGACAGAGGGCACAGATATAGAAGAAGTTAAAATAGGCTAAATATATAGTATATAACAGAGATACAGAGAAAGAGCTAGCTAGATATAACTACCTAGAACAAATAACTTACCTTTACCCCCCATTTATGAAAATGACATTAATAAACCTACTATACAATATACTAATATAAAAAAAAATTAAGCAATTTAAAAAATCACCACTTTTCTCATAATAAGATGTGATAATGAGAATTATAAAATGAAATACTTATATTTTCCCTTTACTCTACACTATATTAATTTCCATTAATCATTTCACACTATCAATTCTGACTATGATTTACCTTAAAAAGCCTACAAGAAATTATGCATAAATCAGTGAAGCTGTCATTTTTCTCCATTACCATTATCATCTACCTACTTATGAAAATCTTATAACAAGTAAATAAAAAAAAAAAAAAAAAAAAAATCACTACCACAACAATAAATAACTCATTCAACATATAGTGAGAACAAGAATGCTCTCGACTTACCCATAAAATAGAGCAAGTGACCCTTCCTCATAGCAGCTGCATGCACAAGAGAAAATTTACAACTAAAGCACAATACATCACACATATGGTTGTAATTCAAACTGTGACCCAGAATTTCCCTCAAAATTATATCCAAAGCACTTTTGATTTACTTAAATTGTGAACAGAACTTTTCCTCAAAATGATCATATTCTATTTGGCCAACAAGAATACATTAAGCGTATGTAAGTCCTTACTGTACAAAGCTTATCATAAAGAAGGCATGTACAGCTGAATCTCATAATTCATAAGACAAACAAAAGCAACAAAAGGTCATCCTTTTATACAATATGACATGTAAAAGCCATACAAACAGGTATATAGATAATGCTGCTATTGTACTGATAATTTTACATCACAGAGTACACTGCTTTGAATGAACATTAATTTTCTCCTTGCTTCTTCCCATTCTTAACAAAGTGATGCTGCCTGTGAACTTGCCAAATTAACCTTCTCCCTTCAATTACATTAAAGTTAAATTCTGCATCAACCAAATGCTTTAAAAAAATGTAACCACCTTGCATTTTGGCATAATCATATTCAGAAAATTAAAATCATGCTAACACAAACATGGCAGATATTTTTCATTTACAAAAGCATGAAGTTAAAATAAATTATCATACCAACATTTCTCATGAGTAAATCACATTCTAGAGATATTTCCATTACTCCTTTGTGTGACTGGAACGAATGAATCTCCTTGTTATCTCTAAATTTGCATTAACGACGCATGCAAATATACAAACACCAATCCTCCTTATCCCAGCCATGCATCATATAGGCATCCAAAAATCATATCATCAATAGCATCATAGTTGCACTGCAATGATAATTAGTGTCACTGTCATTTTCTTTATGAAGGGTATCATCACTAATATCATTTGAATATTTTCATAAAGTGACATTATCATTATTACATTCATTACATTAATTCCATGCCCTTCTGTATTTGAAAGCAAATGCCTCTAAAGGTGTTTTCACACCAACTTCCAGACAATGTGTTTATCAGATGTTTTGCTGGTTTAAACTTGAATATATAAACATTGATGTGTATACATTAATGCATTACAATCTTATGACTGTAGTGCTTACTAATAAAGATTTAAAAAACAAATCATTTCATAATTGCTTCTTTGGGGAACTGGTCTGGAAATACCCTTGGACACATGTGCCTTCATTCACTTATTTGCTCGTACAATATCTGCAAGGCAATATTTAGCATCACTTCCTAACCTCACTAAGCTCATCACACGGCTAGCATATAGTTTTCTAACTTGGTGTCTATCTGTGTAAGGCGGGAGAAGGGTTCCCCCCACCCCTCCTTAATACCCTTTGCTCAGCTCTTACATTACACATGTAATGAAAGTTGCCAATCAAGTTAACAATAACTGGCTGCCAGTAAAACAGACACTTTTGCTACATATGCCTGTTTAACTTTCCTGTTCAATAGTTTGTTTTGACATTTTGCAACTCTACAAATCCCTCTTATTATTGTTGTTCTTGTTTTCAGAATATATCTCATTCATCAAATGGTATATACAAATATTTAAAAAGTTATATTGAGAAACCTTACACTAGCTCTAGACATGATCTTTCAAAGATATTTCTATAACTGATTTCATACATTCAAATAACAAATATTAACGTTATGTTTCACTAATGTTAAAACAATGATAATTCACACTCTATTTACTGATTAGTGTATATTTCTACCATTCCGTCTACATTCAGTCTTTGTCTTGATTGACAAAAACACATGTTTATAAACAAATATATTGAAGTTTGGAGGGACTTAAAGACATTTTTTTTGCCTATCCATTAAAATATAATAACACATTTACCTTTAACTTCCTTGCAATAAAAAAAGGGAATACCAGTTCATAAACGGAAGCTCTTCTGGCAGACTAACAATATAAGCCAAAGTCTATTTAACTTCCTTGTTAAAAAAAAAAGAACAGCAATTCATAATAGGAAGTTGTATTGCAAGGCTAAAATCACCTCAACACCCCCTGATAATTAGCCTAAAGCATCTCTCTCTTAACCACAAATGAACACAGAACCATCCCCCAATGAACACAAAGGAACATGATCTATTCACCAGAGAACATTTTTTTTTTCTCTCATGCGAAAATGACCTCCGTGGCCTACTTACACCCATGACACTTTTGTTGACGGGCTGATCGCCACTCCTCTTTACGTCATTACATACTTGATACTTGTCAAAAAATAAGGAAAAGGCCTGCTGCACTTCACACTTCACACCTGTCAAAAAGCCGAGAAAAAAAATCACATCACAAATTAGAACAATCTAACGAACAAAAACAAAAGACTTTAACAACTTTCAAAACACCCCGATCAACCGTCCCCAGCCCTATTAAAAGACTTCACGTCATTAACACCTTCATCAAAGCAACCCCGTCGGAAATCGCGATCCACCCGCCCCTATTAGGTCCTGAAATCCCTTAAAATTAGCCTCAAAAACGAAAGAAAACACAGTTATTACCCTTCAGCCATCCTGTCTCTTCTGCTGTCGTGTAAACACTGCTCGGCGTGACATCTGTTGGCAACCTTGCACCTGCGCGGGGAATTCGAACCCGGATTAATTTTCTATTTTTATCCTCTTTTCTTCATACTCGAGGGATCTTTAGGGGATTTAGCCTTGAGTAGGGGAGGAGTGCGATCTTTTGTTAGATTCTAAATATCCTTGGTTTCTATTCTAGAGGAGAGTTGGCATTCTGGTGTGATAAGATTATCATGATCACCTGTCTGCCAGGTGTTCTGTGTAATGTACTGCTAGAAGACTAAGGATATCTGGTTGCATTGTATATAGTTCGTGTATGGCTTCGTTGTGGTTGTCTCAGTAACAACATTAGTCCCTTCCTCGCCGTATCTGAAATGGAGGTGATTTATTTTTTACAGGA